CGTGCGTGCGTGCGTGCGTGTCTAACTTTGTGTTTCAGGTTGTCAGAGGTGTGTCCGGTGGTGCGAGAAGCCTTGGAGGTGCCAGCTTCAGTGGAGTATTTAAACACGCTGATGGAGGAGCTCGGCCTACAGGAGCAGGACCTTCTGAACTTAGTCCGGCTGTTTAAAACCCCGGCACACTGACACACGCACGCACACAGCCAGACATGGACGTATGAATAATGAATATACACTCAGGATCTCCGACTGAATGAAATAAATGTGTGTGTGTTTGTTTTCCACAAATAAAGTTGGTTATAAAAGTTTTAAAACAAAAGCTTGTGTCATTTGTGTGCCTTTATGGGAGTTAACTAGGATTTCCAAGGAGTCTGCAGGCTCTCTGTACTGTTGATATTGTGTAGCAGCATTACTGTATGTGCACAATCTGTGGTGAGATATGTGCAAATCACATCCTTGAAGTTTTAGGGCCCTGGGTGTTTAACCTCTGCAGGGCCAAACAAATCACACCCAGCTTTTTCCCAGTGAAAACGCCATGTGGACACGCTGCTTATTGCTTTGCTTCTGCTGTAATAAAAGTGACGCCATTTCTCCCGACTTCCTTCACATGCAGGTTTATGGCACCATAATGTCATTTGTTATATGGGTATGTTAACAATGCGTGTGTGAAAATATTTGGTTTTGACCAGGTGGCACACGCAGCAAAACGTTTTTCTATTTAATGGTGGAGATATAACTTTGACCTGTCATGCAGATTGGGGGACGTGATTGATAGCCTGCGTAGCACACAGCTTCTCGTTTTTAACAACGTACCAACAATCAGTGGGTCGAGGCAGAGAGGAGGATGTTTTTAAAAATGTGTTCAGTTTTAAAAATCTGTTATTGTAGATTAAAAGTGCAAAAAAAAATCGAAATAGTGGATTAAAAATGAGAAATTCTGAGAAAGAATTATGTTTTATTTAAAATGGTAATTAAATTTAGAAGGACTGAAACAAAGGCTTGTCAAATCATAACTGAAAAAACGGACAACTGAGCTCCAGAAGTTAATGTTTAATCCCTGACTGTATAACAAATTGACTAAATTGAAAAAGCAGGATTTCTACTGTTGTAAAGTGGAATTTGGGCTTTTTAAAAGTGGAAAAATAACAACGTTGCAAATTAATGTAAACTGTCTATAGGTTTTTTATTATTATTATTAATATAATAAATGTAAAAACAAACTCGATAAATAAATGTTTATTTCCATAAAATCAACCAAAATATCTCAGGCTAAGTATTTAACTACATTCAACAATAGGAAAAAGAAGGTCAACGCATCAAACCATAGAATAAAATAAAACAGGAGCGTCCACATGTACAGTCGGAGTACATTAAAAGTGCAGGATTCCAGCATCCGAGTCTGCTCATTTGAGTCCGTGCTGCGTCTCCTTGTGCCTCCTCAGGTCCACTTTCCTCTGGAAACCTTTCCCGCAGAGGTCACAGCCGAAAGGTTTGAAGCCTGTGTGTTTCCTGCTGTGCGTGATGAGGTTGGAGCTCTGACTGAACGCCTTTCCGCACACCTGGCACTTGTGCGGCTTCTCACCTGCAGAGATCACACGGTTGGAAATGTCAGTTTACGCGCGGTGAGTCATTTCTCGACAACTTTCACTCGGCGCAGTGTCTCACCTGTGTGGATGAAGGTGTGTTTCTTCATGTCCGACTTTTGGTGGAACCTCTTCCCGCAGTACTGGCACGGATAAGGCCGCGTGTCCGAGTGGATGAGCAGGTGCGTGGACAGCGTGGAGGAGCGCTTGAAGCTTTTACCGCAGATTTTACAGCTGAAGCTTCGCTCCTGTAAAATATGTAAAGTGTCAACGTGGAAGGTCTAAAAGCATTCAAATACAGTGGGCCTAAAATGTCGGACTGGTTAGGAGCGCTGTGCACTCTATCTGGGGCCTCTGCCTCCAGGATGTGGGCCCGGAGGCCTTTGGGTTTATATAGCAACAGTCTGTTACCTGCGAGTGAACCGCTCTGTGCTGGTCCAGGCTCACTGCGTGTCCGAAGGTTTTCCCGCAGATCCCGCACTCAAACGGGCGTGTCCCGCTGTGCGACCGCCGCACGTGGACCTCCAACCCGTGGGGCGTGGAGAACACCTTTGGAAAAACAGACGGATGATATTTTTACTCCAAAATTCAGCTCAAAATGAGGGGAAATATATTATAATCTCATAATTTGAGAACGATCCTCCACAAATATGTCATTTGCCAGTTTATGGTTGAAATGACATTTTAATTAAACTTGATGTTGTATCAACAATAAAATCTAACTCAGGCCCTTTGTATCTCTGCAAACTCAATAACGTGTCAGTGAACGTACCTTGCAACATTTAATGCACTTATATGATCCACTTGACTCGACGTTAGAACAAATAAAGTCACTTTCAGTCTTGATTTCCGCGCCGCGGGCTTTCTGCTTTACATCCCGATACAGCTCGTCTCCGTCCCGCATCCTGCAGGTTTGGTGTCCCGTTGAAGAATAGTCCTGGTAGCATCCGGCCACCGGGCCCCGCTGTGCGTAAAGCGGCTCGGTGCCGCTGTCCTCCGCGCCGTAGATGCTACCGGGTGAGTGAGGCTCCCTGTGGCCCTGGAGGCGGTGATGGTACGGTCCCTGAACCAGATGCCTCAGCTCAGAGCCGGAGTACGCCGTCCAGGAGTAAGGAAAGAGCGGGATGTTGAAGTGGTGACCGTCCTCCGCTGCCGGAGTGGAGCATTTCTCTGAATCTGGAAGTTGATTAGGAGTTAGTGTGAGTGGGTATGAATGCGGTCTGCAGTTCATGGCGTGTCTTTAAATTTGATCATTGGGAAGTTGCATTGGGCCTTACTGAAAATGACTACGTGACCTGCGTAATACTACAATAAACAACGCAAACTCTCAGGTCCCCGCATCAAAATGTTGCGCCTTACATTTATTAAACTGATTCTTGTGTGCAAGAAGTAAAATGTCTGATGGAAGATTTTATACTTCGTTCAATAAAAACAATAACTAAATGCAGATCAGGAAGTCTGCCTATCAATTAACAGTATGTCCTGTTCCTGGATGCCTCTGTTTTGTCGCAATTAATGTGCTCGATCTTTGTTCTCCTTCATAATAATCAAAACTATAACATCAGAATTTACTGGAGGTGTTAACAGTGCTGAAAATGATTTTACCCACTCATAAAGCTGATCTATGTCTACTGTTGAAAACTACATTTTGAAGTTTATATAAGTTCACTGGTCTAATAATAACGACACAGTTCACACAGGCATAACGCTGTACTGTGCAGTGTTTTTTAAATACTCCTCTGACACTTCTGAAAACAACAATAGAAAAGGTCCATTTGAAAATCTATCTGAACAGACCTGGTGAGGAGGAGGGAGACGGGGGACGCCAGAAATCACAGTCGGAGGATCGGTCGCACACACTGCCTCCGCAGCTCAGCGGGGAGCTGGAGGACAGCGACCCCGGGGACAGCAGCCTGGACCCGGGGGACAGCCTGTCAGCGCCGGCGCTCACATCCTCCTGCGGCTCCAAGTTGGACTCAAACTCCGCCTGAGATTTGCTCTCTAATAACAGCAGAGGATTGCAATAAAACGGACTGACTGTGCAACAGGTGTTTATTTGTAGAGGAAATGTATTCAATTGTAACTAAGATAATAAGATGTGAATAATTTCCATGGGGACGTATCCTTCTGAGTGGCGTTTTCATCCATCTCTGTGCGTAATTACGCAAAAATGAACCTACCTGCGCCCACGTGAGCTAGTATAGTGTCCAGTCTACTGTAGTCATCGTCCAGGTAGCGGGGCTGGTGGTAGCTGTGGGCCCTTTTACTCTTCACCAGGAAAGACCTCGGCATGTTTTCCTTCTTTCAGGTCTGAAATCCTCCACTTCACTTCACTCCTCTCCACGCTGCTCCGTCTTTATCTCTGGACAGATTGGAACACTATTGGTTGACAGGCGAGACGGCGTTGGGATTTTGGCAGGCTATTACGCATGCGCAGAGACTTGCAGAGAAGCTGTATCGTTTACCAGGTGTCGTGGGGAAGGTGGCCAAAAGCCAGACCACCGTCCCCCCCGAAGATTGGATTGGGATTGGAGAGGACATATTGTGTGTCCTTAATGGTATAGTTATAGCTGTAGATGTGACGGAGGCTGAATCACATAAGAGGAAGTTTAGCGAGATGTTTTACAACCTATAGAGTTTACTAAAAGGCTTATGTTGGCTTAAATATTTATTATCTACATTGATTAGTGGGATAGTAATTCACTGATAATTAATGATCACAATGTAGACTATGATGAAACCAAGGAAACTAAGATTATTTCTTAAATCATATGTTTCTATTCAGATAAAGAGTATTTTCTACTTTATTTTAATTTATAAATAGTCCTTAAAGGTCGTTTAAACATCGCAGGAAATGAAATTACTACCGAGATTGGATTCGTGCGCTTACCAGTCTGTAACAATGGTTGAGATTTGTATTACAAGCCTAAACTCTAAATTAATTGCAATCTCTACACAAAAGTGGTCATTTTGGATTCTCATAAAGGCAGATGAGTCCAAAACAGGCCTGTAGTGATATGATTTGAGAGTGATGAGCGTAAAATGTGTTTGCGGATAGTCCCGTGCAGGCTGTGCAGGCTGCGATGGATAATGACCTATTTGTTTGACTGCTTGTAAAGTGATCCTGTTAATGAGACGCGCACGGCCGCTCTGCACAACAGCCTGCTGGTGGGGAGCCGAAGTATCCCTTTACAGTTACACTGCTTCAGCTTACCCGCACTGACTTCAGCCTTATTGTTTTACATCATTAAAGCCCCCTCCCGGCCCATACGTAGGCCCAATTATGCTATCCACTGAAAGAAATACAGGATAAGTGCCAAGTGGAATATTATTAATAAGATCAATTAAATCCACATACAGCAAAAAACAAAAACAAAAAAAGTTGTGAGTAGAAATCTGTCAGGCTCAAAATCATAGCGAAGATTTGGGCTCTGTTCAAGGTCGGACCAAAGCAAAGCGGTATCGATTTTTGCCCGATGTGGGAACCCAGTTTGTTTGATGCAGCTGCAACAAGTTAGAGACCTGCAAGCAAAGCGCAGATAGCTGAGGCATAAAGCTGAAACACATGTCCCATACTCACACAGACAGCACTGACACTGCAGGCACCCCGGCTCTCAGAACACACACTGTCCTGAACTCTGTCCACATTTAGTCTGAATGTCAGAATATCAGTCACAGGCTGCAGAGAGACACACCACAAAAGCCTCTGTCCCTCATACTGAGACACACACTATCTCTCTCTCTCTCTCTATTTCTTTCTTCCTTTTCCTCCCTCCTTCTCTGAGAAATGCTCAGTTAGTCAGCCGTGACGTCAAACAAAAACACTGATTCATGTTTTGATAAAATAGTTTAGAATCTCTAGACATTTGCATTGTACAAAAATAGATCAGATGAGATGAAAAGTGGCCTTGTAGAATTGATCTCCTTTCATTACCAGCTTTTATTCCCATGTGAAGCCATATTCTTAACTCTTTCTTGGTGGAATTATAAACAGAAATGTTCAATCTTTGACTCATTTAACGTAAGACCACGTTTATTATCTGTGATTAGCACTCTTCTGATGACTCCGATCACGCCTTATTTTCATTTCTTTCTATTCTGATATTTTGAAATGTCTCACACAAGGGTCAAAATAGTCCACATTAGTTGAAAATACTGGAATTTCTAAGAATCAGTTCTCACCTCTCCTCGCACCAATGAGCAGACAGCAGTGATCTCTCAAACAGTATGAGCAAAATCAAAACATCACTAGTTTTCCTGGAAGAATTTGGAGAATCTGGACAAAAAAATCTCTACAAAATATGGCAACATACAGTATGTAAATCTAAACAAATTTAACATGTTCCCCATAGAGCATTGTTACAGTCACATCTCATGAAATATACTCAACCAGATATTTCAGTAAATGCTTTCAGTTATTACTTTAATCCAGCAGTGGATTGACAGCTTTCTGATTATTCTCACAAAGAAAAAAAAACTATAGTGAGAGAGACGCCGTGGAGGACAGGGTCGATGTGACAACGTTCAAACTTAGGGTTACACACTGACTCAGAACAGGAAACCAAATGCAGAGTCGAGAAGACGCTATCAGTGTTGCCACAGCCTCCTCTTTTGTCTCTCTGTATCCCCCCCCCTCCTCCTCCTCAGCCACCACCTCCACCACCTCTCCCCCACAGGCCTTGATTCTCGCTCTCTAAGTCTTACAGAAAGTATGTGATTGAAATAGAAGCCCAATCGCAGCGATCACAGGGGACCAGAGGAGAAGGTGAAGAGGTTTTGGGTGGTGGGGGTCTTGTACTTTTGCTTTTCACAGCAGCAGTTGTCTACCTTGTCAAAGGTGCAGATCACAGTTACAGTGTTAAATAAAGACCTGTGCTGGTGAGCCATGAGGTTATTTTCTCAAGCTCAACACCAGGCCCCCTTTCAGCCCTTGCGAGGATAGAGAGAGACTGTGGGGACTCCTCGTAGTTTTAAATATACCTGAGGCTACAGCTTTCATACCACATGTATGTGAATGTTGACAAGGGGAGCAGAGTGCACGGCAACTTGTCAATGTGTTGTCTTGATTTTTGACTCGCTGTAATTCAGTTCAAAGCGAGACTTTAACCTTAGCTAAACGGTGACCAATGTGTCTATATGTGACAAGAAGGGGACAGTGATAAATGCATACAGGAAACTGGCGCACTGATGTCTGTTACATATTATTGAGCTAACATTAGCCTCCATAAGCTACTAGTCATACCAGACCAGATAGGGCTATAGCAGCAAAAGCTATAAAGTGTATTGAAATGGGCAAAGGTGTGTTTTATTTCTCATGAATTCAAGTTTTGCGAATTCAAAATTTGCGAAAACATAAATAGTCTCACTTTAAAGGTAATCAGAGTCAGAAATCAGAATATTCATAGGTATGTTTTCATTAGTGTATAATCACCTGAATAAAACAATTGCTGGGTTGTTGTTACCTTAGAATGAGCAGTTTTTATCTACAGCGGGAGCGGGTCCTCTTTCATGGAGTCCGCCATGTTGTACCGCCATTCTACAATAGCCCAGAATAGACAAACCAAACACTGACTCTAATTAGAGCATTTAGCTTTTTCCGCTGGTTTCACAGCCACCGTAGTTTCTCCTTCACGCTTGGAACAGGAGGTAAGGCGAGGGAGTTAAAATCTGCAACTATACTGCTAGATGCCACTCAATCCAACACACTGGACAGCAGCAACAAGGCACTTTCATTTTGTGTTGATTCTGGCGGCCCTTGTGGACAAAAGCGGTAGTGTTTCCACTGTTCTTCTCACTGAGGCTCTTGTTTATTTCTATATGTTAACCATATAGAGGCATAAGTAATAAACAGAAACTGTTTCATAAGCAGTTACAAACATGTTGTAGTGTACTTAAGTCAGACTTGACAAAGCGGAACTAAAGCAGATTTTGTTCTTAAAATAATAAAAGCATGTGTATAAAAAGTCATTCAGTCCAGTTTTCTGTAGTTCCAGAAATTCTGACTTCAGAAAAAAAATGTAACCGCTGACCTTTTATTTGCCATACAGCAGATTTTTTTACTCAATATACTGCGTGCAATGGATTCATGCCATAATAATTTATTGTGGCTAAACTGACTTCTACTGGTTCATGTCTCTGTTTAGTGCCAGGCACTCAGCCTCAGCGTTCACCTCTTCACCTCCACTCTGCTGTGGCATCTCAGTGAAAACCACATCATGCTATCTCATCCCCTCACAGGTTCCTTTGGCTCCAGGACTCAAACCACAGTGTGACAACCCCCTCCCTCTCACTTTTAAACTATCTCCGTCCTTTTCCCTCCAGCTTTAATCTGATTTCACTCCTTTTCCTCGGGTTCAACTGCATGCAGGAGTGGCCGTCCAAATCTCATCGAGCTCTCAGCTGGCCCCAACTGCAGCCACCAGATAGGGCCTGAGTGTGAACACAATGAATGATTTACTGGACGCCGCTGACTGCAAGACAGTTCTTCTTTCACACATGGGGTCCTCAACATCTTGTTTTTTTCTGGCCTAGTCTCGCTTAAAATCCACATGCAGCAGTTTGAGTTACTGTAGATTGATTTGATTTATGTTAATGTTTTATTTGTTAGGGTGATTATTCTGATTTAACTCTGTCTATTGCTTGTATGTTCATGTAGCCTAAAGATCTTTAAAACCATGGTCAAGGGTTAGCATGGCTACAAGTTCTAAGAAAAAAAAAGTGTGAAAAACGGAAGACGCACTGAAAAGAAACTCTCACGTTATACTAAACAGATGCTTGGATTTATGCTGTAAACACTCCACAAATCACCTCCCTCATCCATCACTGTGATCAGCAGCTCCCCTTGTTTGCAACCAGCCTGCTTCTGGTTGTAAATTTCCCTCTCAACTAGTAAGAGTCTCATCAGGGACTTTGTTGCATGGATGTGAAGAAACCTGCTCGGTGCTTCCTGGTCATTGTGTCTCTGTGCATGTCTGGGGGTTGAAAGGGCAGTTTGAAAGGTCAGAGTTCAACAGGCATAGTCAAGCTTTAATAACTCTGTGGTTCATATGTGTCTATGCTTTTATTTAATTCCTGTGTTGTATTTACTTTTTACAGCTTTTAGACCACTTTCAACTCCGACAACCTCCGAATGAACCCAATTTATCCCCCATGTTTTGCACTGTTACAAGTGCCAGTTTATTTTAGCTGATGCTCTAAAATCTGTAATCTGTCTGTTGTACATATTTTTTCACACAGAAAACACCCCTCTGTTTGTTTCTGCAAGGGGTGTAAAATACTGGTGGCATGGGTGGAGAAAAATGCAGGCTGGGCTTTCACACAGAAGCTTCATCACAGCACCATCTATGCTGTTCCTGAAATATTCTGTCTGGTGTTAAAGTTAGCAGAACTCAATTTAGTTTCAGCAGAACTGATTTGGTTTTGCTGAGTGTGTCGCTGTATGTCGAGCAGCACAAAGAACTTTTAATGGCACTGTGTATCCATATCAATCTAACACTGAAATGTGCGATTCAGAAAAGTATTGATAGTTTAATGAGGTATATGCATGCTGCAGATATTATCTTTCTTGAACTTAAAACTGTCTCTGTACGCAAACTAAAATAAATGCAATCAGCAGTGAGAAAAACAGGCAGGAAAGACAAGAGTGTGTTGCTTGTTAACAGAGCGCTCTCTTCTTATCTGTGGTGTGCCTGTGAACACATTTCTTGATGTGTGACTTTCTGCAAGTCATTTTGTAGTCCACCATAACCTCAAAGTCATCTTCTGTCAATTCTGTTTTGTGACTTTTCGGATGAAAACACGAGCCGGCAGCACAGGAAATGATTACTGATGGACCTCCTTGTTGGTATTACATCAGTACGGCACACAAAAAGTAAAGTATCAACATTTAGGACATGAAACTAAAGCTCAGAATGAACTCGG